AACTTTGGATTGTGGACCGCGTCTAGTTTTGTGTTATCTGAAAAATGGCTAATTTTTACACAAATTCTGAAATGACGGATATTTATTTTATGTATGGCAGAGCAAATTGTTGTCAACAAATACGGAATAAACCCGGAATCTTTAAACGTGTTCGATCTTCAATGAGGAGACGTGCTGAATTGTGTGTTGAAATAGACGGAGGGCACATTGAACATTTATTGTAAATTTTAGTTATTTTCTATTTTTCACAGAACAAAATGCTTCATAACTCAGAAATAAAAGATTTTCGGAGTACTGTTCATTAAGAGTTTTTGGTTTGTTTTAACGAGTACTACATACCTCTACAATTTGTCACCACCTTTTGAGAACACCCTGTATAAATATATAGATATAAGAGAAACCGAGGTTAGCTGGCTATAGGACAAGTTGGCAAAACTGGTTATTTCTGGTATTTTCTAACGAATTACAAAATTAAGCAAGCAAGATTTTAAACCTGTCAACGATATGGATTTGAAATTCCTGCTTGCTCGATTCTAAAATCTGTTAAAGAACAGTAGAAATTATCAATACATACAAGAAGGTTGTCTTTATCTAAGAGGATAAAGTTTAAACAGTCAATCACAACAATTAGTTGTCTTGAAAGTTGTACAACTTCTAAAATATAAAGTATCCAGTCCCGGTCTTCCCTATATATATTTATAAAATACAAATATAAATATAGAAATTTATATTAAAAATAAATATAAATAAATAAAAATGTAATAATAACGTGTAATTATATGTACGTTTAAGACGTCTAATTTATGTGTAGTAAATAAGAATAAAAAAAAAATTAATTTTTATGTATTTTTATTTATATATTTGTTTCTTTATTTATTCATATATATACACTGTTGCACATAAATACAGAAACAAATATAAATGAAAATACATAACATCCTTCTTATTTCTGTCTTGTTTTTTTATTTTTGTCCTAACATTATTTCACTTTTTTTTAATATGTAGCTAAAGTTCTTCCTTTTCCGCGTCAATAAATGATTACTAAATATTGTGTATAAATATAGTAAATGTATATCATATCAGTTAATATCGAAATAAATGTAACTTATGTTATTTGGAATTGACGGAATGTTTGCGGATCGACCGGCGAAAGATATCCGACTCGGATGATAGAAGGTTCGAATATTAATTCTCTCATTTAAAGAGAAGTTTAAAGAGATCAGCGTTCACATCGTATCGTATCTGAAATTGTATTACTCACACGAAGACTCCATCTTAATTTGAAAGCTCGCTCGAGAAGATCTCTCACCGCGATGAACTTGGAATGAACTTATCTGACGGCGTGTCTCTTATTTACGTACACATTCCCAGAGACTTGTCCCACTTTCGCCGACATCCCTCCAGGTCCACGGATGATTGCGACTCGCGTTCTCCATTGTTGACGGAACATAAAAAGAGTAGTGTCGCGTCCGCCCTTTCAGATGGGTGACACGTTAAACCGGACCGAGTTAGACGGGATGTAAACGCAACGTACGCACGATACGTCCGCCGTATGTATGTACGCCGATTCTGCAAGCCCGGCGGAAAAAAGGGAGCGAAACGCGCGGCCGAGACGTGGTTTATCTCGATCCCCCTTTCCTGCTATCGTAATCGCAATAATTCGCGCGGCGCCGCGACGTCGTGCCGATTTCCGAGTGTTCCTCCCTCTATTTTTTCCCTCCTCCCTCTCTCCTCTCTGTTATTTTTTTCCCGTTTTATTACGATTCGCGGCGTCGCGATTGTGGTTGCGATAGTATCGCGATTTAATTTCGCGTGTGCAATAACGAGCGTTCGCATGGTCGAGACATCCGTTGGTTTTCGCCACCCTTCGTCGGCGAGCGCGCGCGCGACAATGGTTTTAAGAAAATATAACCCGGTAACCCGGTATTTATTAACAATGGGAGATTTATTATGCGGGATAATCGGGAGCTGCGAGCGCCGGTGGAATGCAATCTTCGGGTGATAACGCGAAAAATGCGTTCTTCAAGCTCGACGTTGCTCTGAACTTATCACGAGAGTTTTATCGACTGCTCGATCCCCTCCCCTACATTTCTCTCTCTCTCTCTTTCTCTCTCTCTCTCTCTCTCTCTCTCTCTCTCTCATCGCAATCTCCCATATTTTTCCAGCCGTGAATTCACCGACGCCGCTCCCGATAATTCGAGAATGCGTCCTGACGCGAATTCGCCTTCGCATCCGTTATAGCGCGGAAAAACATGGCCCGGGAAATGGTAAAAATCGCATAAAATCGCGCCACGGTAACGCGATATACGTATAAAAGCGCGTCTGCCAATTACGTACATTTTTAAACGCCTGACGACAGAAAATATTAATATATTGACTGTCATGGGGATCACTGGCGATCGATAGTGTATAATTCTCTATCTCTGTCTCATTAATTTATCTATAAGGTGTAACTAGTTGTACATATATATTACTTAAATTATATATTACTTAAATTAAATTTAAGAAATATATACAGAGTGTCTCACACTCCCCTCCGGGCATTTTGTGGGGACGTAGAATGGGTTGATGTGAACATAAAAGTCCTATACCGTTTTGCGATATTCGCAATAATTATTGAGATATTAATTGTAGAAAATTTGTTAATGATCATGCAGGATATGGTAAATGAGTTATAATAGCGACAACTGCCGTCGTGTACTTATACTTTAGGTCAAATTGAATAAAAAAGTCCTCTACCATTTTGCAAATAATCACATAGATTTTTAATTATCAATTAAAAAAGATGAGTGCATTATCGTGCGTAAATAATCTTCTTTAATTAATAATTAAAAATCTATGTGATTTTTTTATTCAATTATCTATGAGGACTTATTTATTCAATTTGATCTAAAGTATAAATACACGACGTCAGTCGTCGCTATTATAACTCATTTACCATATTTTGCATTATCATTTACAAATTTTCTACAATTAATATCTCGATAATTATTGCAAATATCACAAAACGATATAGGACTTTTATGTTCACATCAACCCATTCTACGTCCCTCCAAAATGCCCGGAGGAGAGTGTGAGACACTCTATATATATATATATATATGTATATACAGGGTGTTCCCAAAAGGTGGTACCAAATTTTAGAGGTATGTAGTACTCGTTAAAACAAACCAAAAACTCTTAATAAACAGTACTCCGAAAACCTTTTATTTCTGAGTTACGAAGCATTTTGTTCTGTGAAAAATAGAAAATAACTAAAATTTTCAATAAATGTACCCTCCATCTATTTCAACACACAATTCGGCACGTCTCCTCAATGAAGATCGAACATGTTCAAAGAATTCGGATTTATTCCGTATTTGTTGACAACAGTTTGCTCTACCATACATAAAATGAATATCCGTCATTTTAGAATTTGTGTAAAAATTAGCCATTTTTCAGATAACACAAAACTAGACACAACCCACAATTCAAAGTTGAATACAACGATCCCTGCGTAATTAGGTGGTCACATACGGGCGTCCGTGAATGAACTGACTAAGAGACTTGGAAACTGTTGTCAACAAATACGAAATGAACCGGACTCTTTGACCTTCAATGCCGAAATGTGTATTGATATGAGCCGAAGGCACATTGAACATTTATTGTAGATTTAATTTATTTTTTATTTTTCACAGAACAAAATGCTTCATAACTCAGAAATAAAAGGTTTTCGGAGTACTGTTCATTAAGAGTTTTTGTTTGTTTTAACGAGTACTACATACTCCTAAAATTTGGTACCACCTGTTGGGAACACCCTGTATATATATAAGATTTAATATTTTTATTAAATATAAAAATATTTAATAAACGAGAGAGAAAATATAATATACTTATGTACAAGATATAAATTTTACATGCACACACATACACAGTCTGATAATTCGTTATGTAACTGCAATGTACAGATACAACTAATCAAACTGAACACAAAATTCCTCTACTATTTCGCAAAAAATTGCGTGGAATTCTGAGTTATTAATTAAAAAAATTAGTAAATAATTGTCCATGATAATACAAGAATCTTCTTTGTTTATTTTTTTGAAAAAATAAACTAAAAATTTATGTGATTATTTGCAAAATGGTAGATAACCTTTTGTTCAGTTTATTAAGTACATACAACGGGTGTGTCAATAATTGTCAGAGAGACTGTAAATATAATTAGAAATTATATAATATGATATAATATAATTAAAAATCAGAAGATTATAAAGATATACATATTAATTTATATACAACGCGACATGTATTAATTTACCGTATTCCTAATGCTTCAAACTTTAAAGAGTTATGATTGAAAATAATTATTTGAAATATCAAAACGGAGCAAACAGCATGTTGACACTGACGGCCGCATTTATCGCGGAGAAATTTTCGTTTATCACTGACAGATTTTGAGAACTCGCTTACAGATCATATCTAAAGAAACGAACATTATTCTTACACCTAAATTGGTGAATCTACCCTTATATATTCTTTATAAAATATTACTAATATTATTATAATATATAATCATAGACTGTTATTATTTATAAATATTTCTTTACGAAGCAATAACCGTTGGCAGAAAGATGTCGCGTGCACCTCACAACAGTACGACAAAATTTAAACAACGTGCGCGAGCGAGGAGGAGAGGATCACGGCGCGCAGAGGGCAAGAATAACGCGGCGAGGTCCGAGTAACCGATTGCAAGAGAGATGCGACATTATTCGAGAATGATGCTACAAATATCCGTTAAATACGAGCGCGCCGTATATATTCGTGCGCTCGCAATTACGGGCGATCGAATCGCGCGCGAGATGAAAAAAAGAGAAGGAAAGAAAGAAAGAAAGAAAAGAAGAGAGGAGAAGCGGGAACCTTTATTTACGGCGCGAACGCCGATCGTGTGTGTCGCCGATAAAATATAAAGAGAACAAAAAAAGAAAAGAGAGAGGAAAGATAAAAGAAGTCGTTCGACTTACCCGGCATGCAGGAACATGTAGAAGGCGAACCTCCAGAGCTCGAGCCGTTTGTCTGGCCTGTAAATGAAGACACTGTCGATCGGCACCGGCCCCGAGGGATTCACCTCGCCCATCGCCACTGTGTAGTATGTGAAGAAACCCAACTGCAACACAAAAGGTAGAGATCGTCAACGAACATAGTCGGGACGGACTACGTAATAGACCGAGGAACATTGGAGAAATTCGGCGGGTTTGTCGAATTTATCGGACCCAGCGCTCCATAAATGTCTTGCGATGACATCTCGCTCGAAATGGATGAAAATTTACTCGAAGCGCGAGTAACAATTCCGGAATTGCAACAGTGAATGTTTAACACAAACTTAGAGTGGATTTTTAAGGAAAAGCTGGAGACTTTACCGACAGAATACTCACATTCTTTTGCGAAGTTTACAGCGCATTAGTTGAATTACAAATACTTTTACGCAATGAAAGTACGTGCAAAAATAAACAGAGACATTTCTCAATATGTGACATATGTGACATAAACGAAAAAGAAATTTGAATATAAAATCTCAAGCAGTTAACATAATATTTGTCTAATCCAAAAAAATCCCATACCTTGTAGATATCAAAATTTTTCTATATAGATGCTCCATATAGAAAAATTTTGAAGAACATTACTGTGCCTTCTTGCATCTGAATTGAGAAGCTTAACTAATTGTTACTGCGACGTAATTAGTTGTTAATCCGACTCGACTGTCAATCTACTTTTCTAAAAGAAATTTACTTTCTGAGTTTCTTGCAGTGATATATCGTGCAACATGAATGAAGGTTTACTCAAAGCGATGCTGAAGATATCGGAATCACAAGAATGAATGTTCAACTAACAAACTTAGGCTGGATTCTTGATATCTATAAGTAAATGTCTCAATTGATTTTAGTGAATTTAATGAAGTACATCAAATTCACTCTTCGATTTTAAATGGAAATATTTATTTAATGATTTGAACTAGAGAATTCACTTAATGTAAAAGTCATTCGTATAACTTGGTTGTTCGTCTATTTTTCAAGAAGGAAATTTTTCTCGAAGAAATTTATTTTCTATTTCTTGCACTTGTTTTTCAAAAAAGAATGAAAATTTACCCAAAGCAATGGTGAAAATATTGGAAACACAAGAATGAATATTTAATTCAAACTTAAACTTGATTCTTGACATTAAATTTTTCAATCAATTAGAGTGAATTTAGCGAAATTTACTAGATTTACTTTTAAATTTTGAGTGAAGATATTCACTCGACAATTTAAAGCAGAAAATTCACTCAATATAAATGAAAAGTCACTTGACTGTTGTTCTACTCTTGGAGAGGAATTATTCCAGGAAATTTTCTGTTTAAATTTCCCGGTATAATATTTTAAAATGAGTGAAAGTTTATTCACAGCCATAATGAGAATACGACCACTCAAAATCATAAATCATAAGAGTAGATATTTAGCGTGTTAACTGCACAATGAGACGTTGAAGAATTGTATTCCTGACACTTTAAAATCATTTCATCATGTTAATTAATTATATTCATTATTCAGCAAAGCTCACAAAAAAAAAGGAAATCTATGCGAATTCGTAATTGCCGTATGAAATACAGAATTCTTTTCACATATTTTTCTTGTTTGTAACAGCATATGTTAATTAAATTAAATTCAAAGTAAATTTTTGATATCTAGGAATAAATATTTCAATCAATTGGAGTGAATTTGGCGAAGTACGTTAGATTCACTCTTCAATTTCGAATGAAAATCATGACAATTCAAAGTGAAGAATTCACTCTAAATGAGTGAAAAATCACTCGAATTTGAGTGACTCGGTTGTCACTATATTTTCTGCTGGAACTTCACTCGAAAAAAATTGAACGAGTGGGAAGAGAGACACCGGCGTAATTTACAAGTAGCAGTAGTCATGTTACGTTAATTTTATACGCGCTTACATCACAAAATTATACTGGAATAATAAGGAAGCACAGTGAAATGCTTTTCTAACGAAACGTCACTTCTGGAATTCAGCTTATTACGATATTTCTCGCAGGTGGTGGGTGTTCGAGTAATCTTTCCCTATGTAAGAGAAAAGCCTCGCATGAAAGGTCGGCTGGCCACGGCGAAGATATCAAAGAGAAAGTATTAAAAAGGGGGAAAAAGGGCTGTAGTTGTGCGCGCTCGAGAAAAGCAAGATTACTCGACATACGCGGCGGAGCGTTAGGATACGCGTGATGAATTAGTCACGCAATGTGTAAAAAAGTGAGCGATGTTGCGAATGGAAACACGACTCTCGGCAACGATGCATCGCGTTAACAAATATGCATGACTTACCTCGCGACATCTAGATACCTCGCACGTTTTTATCAGCGGGTCTTAATGACTAATTTTCGAGCGACAATCGGTGACATTATCAGCGGATAATTAATTTCTACGCAAAACGGTGTATCGCGCCCGTTCTCGCGCCGTTGGAAAAGGTTTTTTTTTTTATTTAATAAAGAAAGGCAACATTTTTTATCTTCGTTAATTTAAGCCTTACACTGTAAAGGGGGTCAAATTGATCCCAGCATTTTTTAAAAGCCCGCGATCTCTTAAACCAATGAGTTTCAAACCATTGAAATCCTAAAAAATGATGTTGGGTAGAGGTCGTTGCTTGTACGTGGCGGCATATCTGCGTCTCTGTGTAATGCGACGTGGTTAAAGTTGTCCGTATGACCCGCTTTACACGGAAAAAAAAGATTTGCTAATATATGGACAACTAAAAATATTAACTGCAGGAGAAAATTTTCTTGCTTTCATAGCAAAGTTATTTAATTGTGATAGCTAAATAACTTTGCTATGAAAGCAAGAAAATTTGCTCCTGCAGTTAATAATTTTAGTTGTCCATATATTAGCAAATCTTTTTTTTCCGTGTACACTTTGCGTATACTTTTTGTGCAAGTAAATAAATTTTTGTTCGATAAAATTTGTTTTGTTTTCACTTGTTTTATGAAAATATATGAATATTTATTGATACAAGCTATAAATGTAGACCTAATTTATAAATACAGCATATTTCTCGCTATACACAAAGTTTTCACAAAGTTTTCACAAAGTTAACTATTATTTCATTTCTTCATCTAAACTTTCATCTAAACTATCTATTTTTGTATACTAATACACAAAATAAATAGTGCAAAGTAAAGGAAAAAAAAATTTTTCTGCAAATCCTAACCTTGATATTTTTAAATTTGCAACAATTCATGTCCTAAGTACTTAATCGTTATTGCTAAATTCATTATATTTTTTTCATAAAAGTGTAAACATTAAACTTTAACTTCCCGTTGTGGATATTTTGCTCTATGATAATTTTTTCAAAAGTTACAATTTTTTTATCATAACAGTATATTTTTTGTTTTTCACTTTATATATTCGGAAAAATAATGTATTTAAACAAACTATTATACAATGTTTCTATTTAGATCTAAATTTGGAATGTTTGAAAATATTAGAAATTTTTTCAGATTTTTTCAAGAACTTTTACCCGCTCAAAAACATGTGGGATCAATCTGACCTTCGTTTACAATATGAGGTTGCAAAAAAAAACCTTTATAATAATAGAATAAGGATATTAACCCTTATAGGATAAAGGTTAATAATTAAAGACGAAAGAAATAAATAAGAATTAGTAAAATGAATTAGGAAAGTTAAAATGATACTTAAATAAAATTTTACTTTAATAAAAAGTTATATTAAAATCTGGACACTAAAACAACCCTTGAAGATGTTCAAATTAACTTAAAGTTGCTTAAAGTTTCTTCAAGTTATTTATAATTAACTATAAATAACTTTAAGTAACTTTAAGCAATTTTAAGTTAATTTGAACAACTTAAAGTAATTTTTCCTAAGGGAAGTGTTCCTCTTTTAATAAAATTTTCTCTTTCAATGTTTCTCTTTTAATCAAAGTTTAAAAAAATTCTTCTACACGCATTCGCACGAGTAATCCACTAAAAAATAATTTTGTAGTAGTTAAGAAACGCATTTGATTGAGCGTCTCAGTACAATATTTGTAATCAGTATCAAACATAGTAATAAGTACCGATTGTCTCGTAATAATTAGAAAATAACTGGTAAAACTAATTCGTCATTTATTTGAACTAATGACCTAGCTAATAGCGCCAAATGTTTTGGTAATAAATATGAAATAGTTAGACCATTACCAAAGTACATGGTAAGTATATTTTCACATAATGTGGTAATTATTACTAAACAATATGATTTCATTCAATATATTGATTAGTAATATGATTTTATTCAACATATTGTTTAATAACACGTATCATATAATCTGATACGTAATCATTAGCTTTTAGCAACATATACGAATCAATTACTAAGGTTATTAACCTTACCACAAATTATTTAATTATATTCATCCACATATTTATAATTGAAACTGTTCCGCCAAAGCATCTGATAACTGTAACTTAACTCAGGCTTAATGGCTGTTACCAAATCCTTTTTCCAGTCAATATTTGGCTCTTACCGGCCCTCGTTATTACTGTTTTTACAATTGCACAGAGCTTCGTGTATAAATCTTGCCGGCGATTAAATATCTCAAATATTGACAAACAACACACGCGCACGTCAGCGCTGAAAATAACGCGTTACGAAAGTTACAGCGGGACTGTGGGCACTATTAACCTTAACCACGCTCAGCACACGCCCGCGCTACATACTCGTCCGCGTCCTGTGCATGACCCCGCACGGAGAGGAGCACACCCCGTGCAAGGGATGGCTAAGAAAACAGCGGAATCCGGCGCACAGTGAAATGTATGCGCATAAATTGCGCAACTCTCCGCGCAACGCCATCGGCGTTGAAAGGGTTAATCAGCGCGACGGTTGGTAGCAACCAAACGGTACGCTGAATCTGGCAACGGCGACGATAAAGATGTCGGTCCGCGACTGTAAAAACGCCCGCGGCGAAAAGACACGGTGGCTGGGGGGCGAGGGAACAAATGGAAAAAAAGTCGCACGCACGATCCACGCACGAGTGCGTCGGGTTGCGTGCGCCGCGTTAATATCTCCGCTCCGATATACGCCGTGCTTATAGTTTATGCGACATGACGCCTCTTCCGCGTGTAAGGTGCGCCCTGTA